ATAGCAGCCATTCTTTCTGGAGTGAGGTGGAATCTCAGTGTTGTTTTCATCTGCATCTCTCGAATGACCAGTGTTGTTGAACATTTTTCATATGTTTATTTGCTCCTTTTACTTCTTTGTCTGAGAGATATCTATTCATTTCAGATGCCCATTTTCAGATTGGGTGTTTAAATTTGAGAGGTCTGATCTTTTTAAGTTCTTTATAGCTGAGGAAGAGCAGGTGAAGATTTTTTCCCACATTGTGGGTTGTCTTTTCACGCTGTTGGTGGTTTCTCTTGCTATGCAGAAGCTTTTTAATAAGAAGAGATCCCACTTGTTGATTGTTTGTGCTAGTTTACGGGCAACTGAGGTTTTGTTCATAAAATCTTTTCCTGCACCAGTGTCTTCAAGAGTTCTACCCAACCCCTGTTTCAGCCGGTTCAGCGTTTCTATTTTAATATTTAGATCTTTAATCCATTTCGATTTTAGTTTAGTGCATGGCGAGAGATATAGGTCTAGAAAGACACCATTTTTAAAACTGCATTTGTGACTCACTAGTGGGTAGTAATGTCATTGATATAGTGGATCACCATCAAACTTTCTTTTAGTTGCTTAGGATGGAATGAAATAAAATAATGTAGAATCCACAATATCACACACAAAGATGTTTCATGAAACTTCTAAGTGTGCGTGTGTGCACAAAAGAGAAAGGGGGAGGAAGGGAGGGAGGGAGGGAAGGAAGGAGAGAGAGGGAGGGAGAGGTGGGAGAGAAATGTTTTTCATGTCACAATGCAGTAAATCCTTAGAGGCATGGGGAGAGAGGGGATTCTGATATGGTAAAGGGCTGATCCCTTGCTCATACTTACAGTCAAACTTAATATAAAGAACACTTTTAAGGCACAGTAAAGGAGGAAATTCAAGATGAACTCTGTTAAGGGTAGTGAAGTCAAAGAGCACTGAGTGTTCATGGAGGTGTTCATGGAAGAAGTAGGATTTAAAAGGTTGAATAAATGGATAAGGAACATAAGCAGATGTTAATATGGCACATTTAATGAATGAAGGAATGTGGAGGTCACCTGTTGAGCAGCAGCATTCATGTGGGAAATGACAAGTAACTTTTGGGCTTATCAATTATACTGCTAGTTTCTCTTTGTAGCTTTTCCTGTTTTGTATGACGGGAGCTTTGACACTCATTCACTTTACATTCATCACCATTAACAAACACTCACTAATCTAGATAGGCTTTTAAGTTATTTTAGTAAGCCCTATAGTTTTTTAATCAATGCTTTTGTTTCATTTTTCTTCAGTCTGATGTCATACATCAGAGTGTATATGAATTTATCCATACTGAAGATCGAGCTGAATTTCAGCATCAGCTCCATTGGGCATTCAACTCACAAGATACAGACTCTGGACAAGCAATTCATGGTAAGAATGTTCACCCAAACAAGTGTTGGTGATTTTTGAATATGCTTCTGCAAAAGGAAGTGGGAAACCTTCAGAGCATAGAACTCCATGCTGAAGGTGGAAAAATAGTAAAAGATGTGAGTTTGTAACTGTAGGCCAGAGCCGGGCCACAAGATCCTGATGATCTAAGGAATATTTGGTAAATGATAGCCATGGTGGAATTAAACAAAAAGATTGTTGCCATACTGGGTAATATATTTTATAAAAATAACTGATACCATCATGAAAGATAGGTAAAATAGAAACTGGAGTGCTTGTAAATTGCTATGATTAAAATGCATCAAATAAAAAAAAGTAAACTAGCATAAGCAAGTATAATAAAGCATTTCTCAAAGCAAGCAATATTTTCAGAAATCTGTGAAAGTGTTAAGATAACAAAAAAAAATAAGGAAATTGTTGACAGTGATAGCTCAATAAAAATACAAACAAAAATGAAGTCCTCTGTGATAAAAGTTGTCCAGTATGTTTTTGGTTTTCTAAATCATTTTTTAAAATGATTTCTTAATTCACAATACAGACTCCAGTTTTTAAGTTAACACAATTTTTAAACTATTCAAACTTAATTTTAGAGCAAAATGGAATGTAGAGTTTGTGTTGCTCTTGTTTCTCCAGAACCTCATGGTCTCTCACAGCCAGGAGTCTCTTATATCCCAGACCAGATTCCTCCAGAAAACTCTTCTTTTATGGAGAGGTGCTTCATATGCCGACTAAGGTGTTTGCTGGATAATTCATCTGGCTTTCTGGTAAGGTACAAAGTCTTCTAATACTGGTTTATACTATTAAGGAATAGAAAGCAAAAAGAAAAGTTAACTGAAGCCAGTTTTCTTTGGTTAAATTGGAGTTCAGGTTTTAAAATATACTGAATAATTTGATAAAGAAAATTGATTTTTAAAAATTATTAGTTTAGATTTTTAATATCTTCCATAACCCAGAAAACCCTTTCCTTTAGGATGCAATAATAAAAACTGGGTGAAGTAACAGGGAGCCTTGTATCAAAAATAGATATAAGTAGTCCGCCTATTTTTAGGACTTTTTTTTAGCTAAGGTAGAGAATTATGTAGTCCTTCTTTAATAGGAGAATGCTTACCATCTTGGGGTTTAATGCCTACCAGCTAGGAAAATTGTGGCCTTTACCATCTGGAATCACTGCCATATAAAAAATTGATTGTGTATTCATGGTGTGGAATCATCATCTGAGATAAGACACTGTTTCCTGAATGCCTGCATAGGATGACTTTAGGGAGCAGCTTAGGCAGGATTAATTCTCAGAATGGACTTGGTCTGTTCCACTAAATTGTAGCCTTAACAGCTCACCCCATCAAGTACAGAAGAAAAGAGTACAGAGCACGTGGCCTATTTTTGTGAATTATAGAGAATTTGAAGTAAAATATCAAATCTTAAATTAAGCATTTCCAAGCAACTATTTTTATTTCATTTTAATTCTAAAGATAGTTCTGCTGACCCAGAGTTAGAATTATGATTTAAGATACTTTTCCTAGTATTAGTGATCAGAATCAGTTAACGTGTATTTCTGAGGTGGAATTTCTGGGGCAAATTGTGTTGTGTACCTTTGCTCCTGTCAGATGTCAGATGTCAAAATCATTCCTTAGGCTTCTTGATACTGTTTCAGTCAACTAAACTGATCAGGTTAAATTGTCTTCTGTCATCCAAAATTATTCTTTATCTTTAATACAGCTCTGAACTCTTCATATAATTTTATGATGATTCATTTTAGTGTTTTTAATAAAATTATATTTTATCCCTATAGGAAAGATTATGGACTATAGTATGTGGGTGTTTGAAAATTAAGGTTTATCCCTATTCATTCATTCATATCAAGGCGTGATGTGCAAGGAGCTGTGGTAGATGAAAATGATAGGGTAACTGCAAACACAGAAAATAGTCCATATCAGAGACCTCTGCAGTAGGTTCTGATCTCCTGCTCAGTGCTATAGCGCAAGGCTGAGAAAAAAAAGAATATCAACTAAAACACAGAACTAAAGAGACAGAGAAACCAGGGAGCCAGGACGACCAGTGCTGCTTAATCAGCAAGGGCACTGATCAGTCCAAGCCACGATTTTTATTGGTAATCCACTGGGGTGAAGGCGAGCTATGTGTCAGGAAGGGACTATGTGCAAGGACATGCAGTCCTGTAGTTTCCGTGGAAACTAATGCAGGCAAGACTTGTAAAGGAAAAAGAGGGAGCACTCTTGAATTAGGAACAGAATAGACAAAATATATGGTTATAATTAAATCCTTGTCCTTCTCGTCAAGAAGTTTTTAATTGTGGGAATGGAATTTGGGTGCAAGTTACTCTGACCTCAACTCATAGGCTTCTGCTGGTCTCACTTCTCTCAACAAGACAATTGAGAGGTTAACTCTTTACAGCCTGCATTGCCTGCAGCCTGCTTTGGGCATAATCAATATTGCGGTCCCCTACAAGTCCAGATCCTCCTGTTACGGTATTCGAAGCAAGGAGTGGTTCACTTACCAATCACTTTAGTATATTCCACACTTTACTTTTGGGAATATGTTTAATTTTGCTTCCTTTGGAGAGAGGAGTTAAAGAAAGTAGCATTTTTCCACCTTAGAAACTCATGCAAAGTCAAGTATCCTGGAAACAGTCATGATGAAAACTTTTTTAAATGGAAGTATTTTGTACTGTTCATTTTAATGAACACTATTATTTTTAAGGCAATGAAATTCCAAGGAAGGTTAAAGTATCTTCATGGACAGAACAAGAAAGGGAAAGATGGATCAATACTTCCTCCTCAGCTGGCTTTGTTTGCTATAGCCACTCCACTTCAGTCACCATCCATACTTGAAATTCGAACCAAAAATCTCATTTTTAGAACCAAACACAAACTGGATTTTACACCTATTGGTTGTGATGCCAAGTAAGTGAAACTTTTTAACTTTTACTTCATCAAATGTATATTTTATTCTGTACAATGTGTAAGTTCTAATATTTATTATTATCATATTAGCTATTATTATTTTATGTTATTCCTATTAAAGTAAGTTAATTTCATCAGATGCACAAATCATATTATTTTCAAATTTCTTAACAATATTTGCAGGTTTATTCTATTAATGACATTTATTATTTATTTCATACAAATATTATTTTTTTAATTTTTAGCCCTAGAAGTTTAGTAACTTTCTAAAGTATCTAAGCATATCAATCTTTTCTCCTTTTTAATGTGGAAATACAGAAAGTTAATATAACAAACCCTGTCTCCCTCAAAATGGAGTATATCCATTCTAGACTTTCACTAAAGATTTTGTTTTACCTTTACGATTTATTCTGTTAAATTCATTTTAGCTATACTAATTTTCATGGAGAGACTAGCTTTAAAAACAAGCTAAAAATTTACCCATAAGCAAAAGAGAACAATTTACATATGTGGGGGTTTCTACTCATGAGAAATTCTGAATGTCAAATTGCAGAAAGCATAAACTGATGAATTGATCTTATGTTAAGTTTTGATTCATTCTTATTTAATTTTTTTTTTAACAGAGCCCAGATTGTTTTAGGTTACACTGAAGCAGAACTGTGCTCAAGAGGATCGGGATATCAGTTTGTTCATGCTGGGGATATGCTTTACTGTGCCGAATCCCATATCCGGAGTAAGTTTTAATTCTTTATGCATAGACTGTATCTGACAGAATACCATATACTCTGGTACATGTTTCAAATTATTACATTAGTATTTAAGGAAACTATTTGGGTAAACTTCTACTTCATATCATACTATTTTGAATAATCAGTGACCTTGCTTATTTTTTAAATTAATTTTATTTGTACCTGTACATGATATATCTTGGTTCTTTTCTTTTCCCCCTTCCCTCCTCCTGCCTTCAACCCTTCCTTCCTTCCTTATTTACAAAAGCTTTGTTTCTATTTTTTCCTTCTGTTCTCCTTTTCTTTTCCCTTCCTTCCTTTTCCTCTCTCTTCTCCCTAGTTCCCTTTCCTGTTTAAATATTTTCTTCCTATTTCACAATATCTATTATGTATTTTGATCCTTATTTACCCTTTCAGTTTCCCACAGCAGAGAAACAATGTGATATTTACATATGTGTGTCCGATTTATTTCACTTAAGAGTATGGTCTCAAGGTGCATCCATTTACCTAGAAATGTCTCAAGTTTATCCTTCTTTGTGGCTGACCAGTACTCCATTGTATAAAAAAAACACATCTTCTTTATCCATTTGTCCATTGATGGGTATTTGGACTGTTTCCAAGATTCAGCTATTACAAACTGTGCTGTCAACATAGGTGTGCACATGTTACTGTGTTATGATGCTTTTAATTCTTTTGGGAATATGCCAAGAGGAGAATAGCTGGGTCAAATGGAACCTTTAGTCCTAGTTGTTTGAGGAATCTCCACACTGATTTCCACAGTGGTTGCACCAGTCTACACTCCTACCAACAGTAGAGAAGGGTTCCTTTTTCCCCACAGCCCTGCCAGCATTTGTCATTGGTTGATTTCTTAATAATGGCCATTCTTTCTGGAATGAGATTGAATCTCGGCATTGTGACCAATGATATTGAACATTTTTTCATATATTTATTTGCTGTTTATACTTCTTCATCTGAAAAGTGTCTGTTCATTTCAGATGCCCATTTTTGGATTGGGTGTTTAAATTTGAGGGATCTGAATTTTTAAAGTTTTTATATATTGTAGATATTAGTCCTTTGAGGAACAGCTGGCAAAATTTTTTTCCCACTCTGTGGGTTGTCTCTTTTGCTATGCAAAAGCTTTTTAATAAGATGAGATCCTAGGTGTTGATTCTTTGTGATAGTTCCTGTGTGAATGGAGATTTGTTCATAGTTTTTATCTAGACCTGTGTCTTCAAGAGTTCTACCTATTCTCTCTTCCAGCTGGTATAGTGTTTTTGTTTTAATATTTAGATCTTTGATCTATTTTAGTTTAGTGCATGGTGAGAGATATGGCTCTAGTTTTAATCTGTTGCATGTGGAAAGCCAATTTTTCCAGCACCATTTATTAAAGAGGCTCTCTTTCTTATAATGAAGATGTTTGATCCCTTTGTCAATGATAGGGTAGCTGAGTATGCTTGGAGTTGTTTTTGTATCTTCTGATCTGTTCCATTGATCTTCAGGTGTGTTTTATTTGCCAGTGCCATGCTGTTTTTATCACAGTTGCTTTGCTGCCACACAGAAACATAGTAATTTAATTACTATGAAAATGACCATTTGGGTCTAACAAGTTTTGCTCAGGATTTCTTAATCATATCATTATTAATTCATAAGTTACATGAATTTAGGTTTAAATTTAAAATTTGTAAAGTATTGCAAATGTGCGGGAAAACATTCCCTATTTAAAAGTAAAGGAATTTTTAAAATCTTCCTCCCAACCAAGTTATAGAGATAGTACTATCTCTATACTGCATCTGCTAACCCAGATCCTCTCATTGGTACCTGATCTTCCCTTTAACATTGTAACATTGTGTTTAGTCAGAAATGAAAAGAACAAAAACTCTAAAGAATTGTTTCCATGCCTTTAAAAGTTGTCATGATAGTTATCATAATTGGAGGGCGATAACTGTAATATATCCATCAAAATGTCAGAGGGCTTTGTTTCAGAGAATTTTTAAATATATCGATTCTGAGTTTGATAACTTAATGTTTTTATTTTAGTGATGAAGACTGGAGAAAGTGGCATGACAGTTTTCAGGCTTCTTCTGAAACATAACCGGTGGGCTTGGATACAGTCCAATGCACGTGTAGTCTATAAAAATGGAAGACCGGATTATATCATTGCAACTGTACGAGCTCTGACGTAAGCATGAAGATTGAGAATGTGTCCTGTTTTTGTTCTTTGATAAGTGGTGCATGAGTCTTCTTGCATAAAAACTTGAAAAATAAAATACTGTATGTAGAGAAATGAGAGGATGGGTAAGAGATATTGAGGAGACAGAATGAACAATCTTTGTTGAGGAACTAAATATGTAGAGCTACAGAAAGAGAATAATGAAAACTCCGAAATTTTATCCTGGGTTTATGAAGGAAAAAATGAAAAGTTAGCACCATCTGTAAAATAAAGGAAAAATATAACAATGTTTTGTTTAGAGTGTGCTTTCTAAACACAGCGTGATTAGTAAGATTTTCTTATATATTCTGGGAATGAGTTCTTTGTCAAATATTTGCAGTTTCTGCCACTCTAGAGAATTGTTTTTGTATATGGTTAAGGTAAGGATCAAGATTGATTTTTTTCCTTTATATATATAGCAAATTGACCAGTGACATCTATTGAAAAGACAGTTTATTTCACTGGTTTTCAATCAAAGGGTTTTGTATGTGGTTCTATATCTAGACTCTCTTGGTCTGGTTCCATTGGTCTAGTTGTCTATTTTTGTGCCATGTACATGGCCTTAATTACTGTATGTTTAGTATAAGTTTTGATATTTGAGTATATTTCATTTTGTTTATTTAGCTTTTGTTATCCCCCTTCAAGATCGCCTCAACTCTTTTTTATCCTTTATATATCCATAGGCATTTTAGAAATCACTTGTCAGTTCCCACCTAAATATCTGTTGGAATTTTGAACATGAATTTGACATGAAACTATAGGTTATTTGAGGGAGAATTAACATCTTTATAGTATTGAGTCTTCTAACCCATGAACATTATGAGTGTATATGTGTACCCATATAACTATGTGAGTATGTGTGCATCTGTGTATACAGGTACTTGGGTTTGTATGTACCCATACAGATTTGAGCTCTTTCCCTCCATCAGTATTGCAAGACTGTCAGTTTGTTAATCTCTTTAAAGAGGCAACTTTTGGCTTGTTGATTCTTATTGTACATAGTTTCCATTTCTTTTTTTTCCACTTCATTCGTATCTTCTCTTTATTGTTTCCTTCTTTTATTTGGAAATAACTTGCTATTTTTTCCAACTTTTTTCTTCATTATAAATTTGAATATATGTATCAATTTCCTTTGTATAAGTTTAGCTACAACCCTCATTCTGATGTCTTATTTTTATTGTTCCATTGCAAATACTTTTTGTAATTTTCATTTTTCTTTTTTATTCATGAGTTATTTAGAAATATAGTGTTACTGAACTTTTTGATGTTAGAGGATTTTTCTGTTTTGTGATTGAATTTTAGCTTAATTCCATTGTAGTCAGAGAACATTCTCTGAATGGATTTAAGTCCTTTGAAGGGATTTCATATTCCTTTGAAATATGTAATGGCTTATTTTATGATTTAGTATATGTTCCAAGTTGATAAACTTCCTATATATTCCTGTAAAAGATACTTGTACTGTTTTTCAGGAGTATGGTCTTTTTTGTATATCAGTATCTGTGGTCTAGTTTATTCATTGTGTTCATATCTTTATACATTTCTCATTATATGTATGTTCTATCAGTTACTCTAAGAAGTTATAGTAGTTGTTTCCATTTTCTAATTACTGATGAGGCAGGGTACCTTTTAATATCCTTTTAAAACATTTTTCTTTTCTGAATTTCCAGTTAATATCATTTACCTTTTACCTACCTGTTTACCTTTATGCCTTTCTTATAGACGCATTGGAGCTCTTTGCCTGTGATATGAAATTTTGCATTTACATGTTAAAGTATATATATATATTTTTTTGCATGTATATGCTAAAGTATAAACATACATATCATTTTCTCCATGCCTTAACTTGATTTACAAGTTATTTTGCAAAAATGCAGAAAGTTTTGATTTTCATATTGCCAATTATGCCATTCTTTCTCTTTAGAGCTTTGTTTTACTGTTTTATTTGCATATGCCTCTTCTGATCAAAGTCCTAAATTCTTATAGTTTGTTTTTATATTTAGAAAACATAGAAAAGTTAATTTTTCTACAGGCTATGAGGATAGAAATATAGTCTGAGAGTGGAATTAACTACCATATTTCATTTTGACAAAAATTATAAATCCAAATTCTAAATCATTTAAATGTATTTGTCTATAATTTTAGCAGTAGTCATGTGAATAATTTAGGCCAAAATAAAGTCCATGTTGCCTGTTTTCGAATTTAGTTACAGTATATTTTCCTTGCTATTTTTCTTTCTATTTAATATCTTGTTTAAAGTGTTTATAATAATGAAACTCTTCCTAATATATGCAAATTTTTTCCAAAATTTTAGAGATGAAGAAGGAAGAGAGCATTTACAAAAACGCAATATGTCATTCCCTTTTATGTTTACCACTGGAGAAGCTGTGTTGTACGAGACCAGCAACACTTTTCCTCCTATGATGGATCCCTTACCAATACGGACTAAAAGCAGCACTAGTGGACAAGACTCTGCTACCAAATCAACTGAGAATAAGGATTCCCTTCATCCCAGTTCCCTCTTGGCTGCTGTGATGCCACAAGATGAGTCTATTTATCATTACCCTGCTTCAAATACTGCACCTTTTCAAACAAATTTTTTTAACGATTCTGTGATTGAATGCAGTAATTGGCAAGAGAATATTGTACCACTGGGATGTGATAATATCCCCAAACATAGACAAATTGGACAGTCTCAGGAGATGAACCCAGTGTTCTCTGGAAGTCATGCAGGGCCCTTTCCAGATAATAAAAATAGTGAATTGTACAGCATTATGAAAAACCTAGGCATTGATTTTGAAGATATCAAGCGCATGCAGAATGAGGAATTTTTCAGGACTGACATGTCTGGTGAGGTTGACTTCAGAGACATAGACATAAGGGATGAAATACTGACATATGTCCAAGATTCTTTAAGTAAGTCTTCATTCCTGAGTTCAGAGTACGAACAGCAACAGGCTGTGACCCTGAATTCAAGCTGTATGGTACAAGAACAGCTAGAGTTAGAACAGCAGCAGCTTCAGCACCATGAAAAGCAAATAGTAGTGGAAGCACAGCAACAACTGTGTCAGAAAATGAAACATATGCAAGTTAATGGCCTGCTTAGGAATTGGAGCTCTAACCCATCCATGCCTTTCAGTTGTCCTCAGCAAGACCTTCAACAGTATAGTGTGTTTCCAGACTTAAATGGGGAGAATCCAGAGTTTCCCTGCAAATCTGAGCTGGACACCATGCCTTATACACAGAACATTGTTCCCTGTGACCAGTCTGTCTTACCCCAGCATTCCAAATGTACACAGTTAGAATTTCCCATAGGGAATTTTGAACCATCCCTATACCCTACAACTTCTAATGTAGAAGATTTTGTCACTTGTTTACAAGTTTCTGAAAACCAAAGACATGGAATAAATCTACAGTCCACCATAGTAACTCCTCAGACATGTTATACTGGGGCCATGTCAACATATCAGTGCCAACCAGAACCTCAGCACACCCATGTGGATCAGATGCAGTACAATCCAGCAATTCCAGGTCCACAGGCATTTGTAAACAAGGTAAGAGTTTATAGAGCTGAATAAACCCTTTCAGCAGTTCTTTTTACCTTATAAACAAATAGACATGAGTTATAAAATGTTTGATTCAGTAACTGATTTTATTATCTGCAGTGTTTATGGAGATATAGCATTACCAATTATATCACTGACTGCTGTTTTATAAGCCTATACTTTCTTCAGTATCTTACTGATTTATTTCCCTGAATTATGAAGGAGAAAGAAATCAAGGGCCAAAGGACCAGGAATATGTCCTTAATGTAAGATGTCCAAAATTATCAGGTGAAATTAGTTAAAAGTGTGTTTAGAAAAGAGTTTCACTTATCTTTTTTGATTCTTTAAAAGTTGTTATGACATTTTAAAAATTCAAGCTTTAAAAAATTTAAATTTTTTAAAATGATTTCTGCAAAATTCATTTTTTTCAGACATTTGAAATGGGGTTCAATCAAAAGTAAGTGTGCTTTCTTAGAATGCCTTTGTCCTAGATCAGTGATGGCAAACCTATAAGAGACCAAGTGCCAAACTGCAACCCAAAATCCACTTATTTATCACAAAGTGCCATCACTGCAATTAAACCTGAATACTGAGGTTATAGTTTAGAAAAAACAACTCAACAATAACATCTTTTGTCTTAAAAGAAAAACACAATAACACATGTGCCATAGGTTTGCCACCACTGTCCTAGATTGTCCCTGGAATCCAGGTGGAGTTTATTTCTGAAATTCTCAAAAAGTGATTTTGTGTCATGGGAGTCAGGTTTGATATTTTTATTTAACTCTGTCACTAGAACTCTTTTACGAGCAAATACTCCTTAAATATATATTATATTTTTTAAAAAATAAGTTTAACACAGTGATATTAGCTGATATCTTTTGCCTCCCAGGAATATATCATGTTTAAGCAGCACCTCAAGAAATTCATGACCACCAAATTAGCATTACAAAAAATTCTCAGGGATATTCTAGAGACAGTGAAGCCAGCAATGCATTTAGGATTTTCCTTTATAAAATATTTAGTTCATTTTTAGTATATTTGAATTTAATTTATAAGAATATCTTGACTGATAAAGTTCATTGATCTCTATGTGTATTTGAGTACAGTATAGTAATTTTAAAAATGTGTCTTGAATCTTTATCTGTAATCCTTTCTTATGGCTTTTTTCAGATATTTGGTTTGTCTGATTCTATACGAGCTTATAATAGAAATTAACGAGAAAGATTTTTTCATTCTCATTCCTGACATCCTTAAATTATATTAAAATTTAACATTTAGAATAAAGAAAATGTGGTATATATCCACAATGGAATACTATTCAACCATAGAAAGGATGAGATCCTGCCATTTGTGCCAACATGGATGAAACTGTAGGATGTTATGTTAAATAAGTCAAGCACAGAAAGACAAATACCACACAAACTCAGTCATATGCGGAAGCTAAAAATTCAGGTTTCATAGTAGGGAGTTGAGTAGGGTACCAGAAGCTGGCCCAGGAGGATAGAAAGAGTCCAGTTACTGGGTACAAATAAATCGATGAGAGGAGTAAGTTCTGGTGTTCTGCTGCACAATGTGGTGAGTATAGTTATTGATAATTTATTGTATACTTCAAAATAGAAGGACTTCATGTGTCCTCAAAGAAATGATAAATGTTAGAGGTGACATATATGCTAATTGTCCTGATTACAAATTATATATGTGTGTCCTAATATATTTATATAATGTCCACATAAATATGAACAATTATTACATGTCATTTAAAAATAATATTTTTAAAAATTGAATTACAACATTATTGTGATAAATATAAAAAAACTTCTGTAGACCTACATATTCCATTTGTTATATGTGACATATATATAATATATATTATGTATTATATCTTGAGCACTTGAAATATAACTAGTCGAAATCAAGATGTGTTATAGATGTAAAATAACACCAAATTTTAAAGACAACTTGAAAAAGAAATGTCATATAATCTCATCTTTTTATTGATTTTATGTTGAAATAACTTACTTTATTAAACAACGTATTATTAAAATTAATTTAACCCTTTTTATTTCTTTTGAATGTGGCTACTAGAAAATTTACAGTTCTGAATGTGGCTCACATTGGACAACACTACTTTATATAAATATATTTAAAGAGAATAACCAACACACATTGTGTAATGAGTGTTGAAAAAATTCATTTAAACCCCACCATTACCTGGATGGATGAGATTATTTTCTGTTTGGAGACCTGACAGAGTTGCCACTCATTAAGATGCAGGTGTGACTTACTATAGATTGAATATATGTTTTGGAGGATTTCAAAGTAATCAGTCTTTTGATTACTAAAGCCTAATGTTACAAAGCCTTTAGAAAAGTAGATTTTGTTTGAAAGAACTAAAGGTATGATTTTAATCAGTTTGAAAGTTTCTACAATTTTGACTGTATTCTACAATGTGAAGAATCTGTAATCTGTAGAACTCTACAGAACTATGATCTCTATGTCCTCTCCCTCTTTTATCCTTTCTTTACTTGTTTCTGTTTTTTTTGTTTGTTTTTTGTTTTTTGTGGGGGTTTTTTTGGGGGGGGCGGTGTTAGCAGTTCCAAAAAACAGACTAGTTCCAGTGGAGGAGGCAAAAAAGAGCACTGTCTTTTGGTAATTGTTTCTTAATTGGGAAGGTGTTTTCAGTGGTATTCATTAATCAAAATCATATTACAAATAAGAATTGGTCAAAGAAATCATACTCATAATATTTTAGGAATATCCATAAACCTTTAGAAAATCAGAACTGGTAATTTTTTGGAAGAGTCCTTGGTCATCTGCAATCTAGTGTAATCTTGAATATAATCAATTCATTGATATCAGGTAATTGAGGCATGAAGTTGGGCATGGCAAACCTATTTTTGCAGAGAATGTTTAATAGGATTCATGACTCATTCTTTTTGACCCATTGATACCTGTATGACCCAAAGACAATGTGAAGTGAGTCAGTTGTATCACTCATCTATACCATCTTCAAAAGTTTTTGTCAAATTAATGGACAAGCCAAAAGGTGATAAATGCAATTAATACATAGTATGTACTCAGTATCCCTTTATTGAAAAAATTACAGTTTAACAGCAGTAATTTTAGCAACATGCAAGATTATGATCTTATAAAAATATATATTAACATGTGACTTAATGGTTTAAAACATTTGGAAGATCTATCCTCATCAGTTGTGTTGCTGTTTTTGCTTTCTGTTTCAGAATGGAGGAGTTTTAAATGACATGTACCCTGCTCAATTAAGTAACATAAGTAACACTCAGACTGCCACACATCTTCAGCCACTTCATCATCCAGCAGAAACCAGACCTTTCCCTGACTTGACACCCAGTGGATTCCTATAATTCCAAACCCAATTTTCACCTTAATTTTTTACTAGTTTGTGAAGAATCACAGAATAAAAAACCTGTCAATGTTGGACATCAGCAAATTCACACGGAGCCAGTGATGCATGTTGTTCGCACTGTTATTCCAAATCAAATTGTAACGTTTGCCTTTGTAAAATTCAACATTACATGTAGCATCCTTGTTAAAACAGAAAATGTGCTGCCAGAAAAGTGAGATCATTTACATTTCACATCCTCTGGGTTCCACAGAATATGCGAAACTTATGCAGGAGAACTTTAAGACCCTTTGAAACCAGAAAACTCTCTGTGTGTGCATTATTTCTGTCAGAATAACAATGAAATACTTTAAATTTTGAACTTACGGATTTTCATCAGTGTACTAAATACAAAGTGAAAAGACTAACATCCTCCTATGTTTTTAGCATCTGCTTTTGTCTTTCTGCTTTTAAATGGTTAGGTGTTTTTATAAAAAGATACAATGCTTTCCTCCTTCACTGTTAATCTAAGTGCCTCACATTTTTCCTACCTATGACTCTGTAGGATGTATATTTTATATAAAATATTCTTTTCTTTTTTAAATTAATAACATTCTGCACACAAATATTACTTGTATTTCCTAAATTCAGTCATTTTTATTCAGGCATGTTTTTGCTGCACTACTCACCACTGTCTTTAGGTAAAGGGCAAATATTAATAGGATAATTATTTATTATGTAATCTAGTTGCTTCTGTGCTTTAAATATTGTATGTGCCTTATGTTGAAAAATTCCAAAGTAAAATGTCTTTCCAAATTATTTCATAATTATTATAGAAATATTAAGACTAGCACTTAAATTTCAGTAGTGTTTTCAGAAGAGATGTATCACTGTTTACCTTTACTGAAATCTCACAATGGCAGTTGAATGTTGCCATGTGAAAAATCTTTTGTTAAATGGAACCATGTTTATTAAATTACAGTGAAAAGCAGCAGGCTTATGTCTAGCTTTTTAATTAAATTAAGCAAAGCATTCATTTCGGTGTGTATAAATTTTCTGTAAAATGTCTTACAGCTATAACCCTTTATGATATAGTATTATATTAACTTTATAAATTTCACTTTTTAAAACAGTGGAACATTTGTTTTTTAATCATATTTGAGGAGTTTTAAGGTTGAAGATAGCAATTTTTGGTGCAAAGTATTGTAATGAATGAAAAGAATGGTGCATTGTACAGACATATTGAACAAAATGACTTGTAAAATACTGTCAGTATTTCATTTAAGAGTAGTCCATACCCTATATATGCACATAATTTGGACTTTATGTATATTTTATCAGTGTGTCTTAAATAATGGACTGAACAGCTTTTAAATTGATATCAAGAAAAAGAAAATGACATAGTTTACCTTTAAAAGTTGGTTTTCTAATACAGTGACTTTCATTACCAAAAAAGACAAATTAATCATCCTACCCACTTTACTGTCCTTAAGCAATTTAAAGGAAAAAAATGCCATTATCTGCTATTCTTTTACTTAAATATAACATCTGAAGTGCATATACACATTTTAATATGTTACTCAAAAATATGATGGAATCTCAAAGATTAGTACAAAAATACATTTTTATTTTCTTAATATATACAAAGATGATACAAAATATCTCAGTTATGTACATTTTTAGTCAAAATTTTGAATCTTTACATTAATTCATGTTGAAAAAGATTTGTCTAAACATTTCATAATTTGTTTCTAGAATGAGTTATCACTAAGAATTTAAGCCAGTGGTTTAAATTAATATTCTATTTTTACATTTAAATTTCTCATTAGAAGTATTCATATAAACCAGTTTTGTTATTTTATGTTATTGGATGAATTGTTTAGCTGAAAAACTAGGATTTTAAAATTGTGACTATGATGACAACCGGTTATACACTTTTAAATTAACAGTTTTTAAAGCAATATTGTAATTTTTACCTACATAAAATAATTAAAATTTATCTGAAATAATAAAATCACATTAAATTACACCTTTGTCTGTATTGCTAAGTCCCAAAGAAAGAATAGAACTGCTATTTTAAGGGATTTATTTGTAGACAGTATGCACATCTAAAGATGTGGATGTGTCTAATTTGAACTTTTCCTGTACCAGGTTGTGCTTTCAGTACCTGAAGATTTACCAGTGATTCCATGTAATATGAAGCTTTAAATCACTATTATGTACACACTAATGTTTTCCAGTATTAATAAATTTTAGGTAAATCTTTTTATAGTTTTTCTCTTTCCTTCAAAATGTTACTACTTACATATCCCATGCATAGATTTTTGTTTAAAGTATGATTTATATATCCTTACTTAGTAAACAAAATTGTATATAGTAATAAAATAATGACCATATATGAGTAACCTATTGTAATGTAGATTCTCCTTTCTGATCCATATAAGGGAAATGATTGCTTATAGTATAGTATTGTGACTATGTCAGATGAAGGTTAGCTATAATAGTTAAGAGTATAAATTAATAATTCATAAACATCTTCCCCAATTTTTCCCCTCAATGTTTTGGCCTCTACATGAATAGTTAAAAACATACTTTTAATAACTTCATAAATTAAAATGGTTCTGAAATTGACTTTGTTTTCCTTTTTATGTGATACTAGGGCTTGAACCTAAGGCCTTACACCAGTCTACATTTCCATCTTCCCATCCCTTTTTATGTCTGTATGTATTTTCTGTGAGGAAGACAGAGTCTAAGTTGCTAAATTGTCCAGCCTGGGCTTGAACTTGCGATCTCCCTGCCTCACCCTCACAGAGTGCCAGAATTACAAGCTTGTGCCACCGTGCTGTGCTGAAATAGACTACTTTTTCTTCTTAAAAACCTTGTATTATCAGTTTTATAAATGTGATAGTGTTAGTATCTCAGTATAACAGAGTATTTTAGGGGGAAAAAAAAAAAAACTAATGAGGAAACTCAAGTTACACATTTAGAGATGAGGAAACAGGCCGAAGAGGCAAAGTGGCTGCTGGTCATGGTGGATACAGATCTAGGCTCTGTAGCTGATAATTAAGAATAGATCTTCTACTTGGCAATGTCTTATATATAACTAGATATTAGATTATTTTTGACAGTGATTGTTACTTTCATTAGATACAAAAATGGCTACATGGGACAATTCTTGGTTTTGAGTAAAAGACACTATGGTAGTTACGTGGATTCTAATTGTATCAAACTTTATACTTTTCTGTAAATTTTTTTTAAATCTCAAAAAAAAAAGAATAGATCTAACAGACATTTTGTGACTGTCTTTTTCTGTCTGCCATGCTACCCATTGCTTAATTCAGGTTATCTCATTCCCATGAGGTAAAGGTAATTAATATAATTTTTAATTGATTAAGCTATTTTTAAAAAAGCAATCAAAACTACCAATATAGTTGTGGTAAACAGAATAATAGCCTGCCAAACATGTTCATGTTCTAATGTCCAGAACCTAATAAATATGTTCATTTAGGAGGCAAGAGAGATTTTGTGGATGCTATGTTACAGATCTTGCATAGATACAATAGTTTGAATTTTAAGTATCTCACAAAGCACATGTGTTGAAGGCTTGGTCTCCAGCATGTAGCTTTGTTGGGACATGGAGGCTCCTTCAGGAGATGGAGCCTAGTAGAAGGAAGTCAAGTCATTGGAGAAGTGCCCTTTCTGGGGGATATTGGGACCCCAGCTTCTGGTCTCTGTTTCCTAACTGCCCAGAGGTGAACAAACCTCCTCCACCATGCACTTCCTCCATGAGGTAATGTGCCACAGTAGAGCCAAGCAACCTCTGAAACTGTGGGTCAGAACAAAGCCTCTCCCTTCTTAAGTTGATGATCTCAGGAAATATGTTACAGTAAGGGAAAGTTGACTAACACAAAAAGTTATCCTGGATTACCTGGGAAGATCCAGTGTAATCACAAGTGTCTTCATAAGAGGAAAGCAGGATAGTAAGAGAAAGGGATTGTTAACAAAAACAGAAAAGAGAGGGGGATATGAAGATGCCTTGCTGCTAGTGAAGATGCAGGGCCACAAGCCAAGGGATTCTGGCAGCCACTAAAGGCTAGAAAAGGCAAGGAAACTAATTTTCTCCCCTGACTCCAAAAGGCAACAACCCTGCTGATACTTTGATTTTGTGGGACTTCTAGCATTCCACATATGTAATATATTTTTATTGTTTAAAGGCACTAAATTTAGAGTAATTTGTTACAACAGCCCTGGGAAACTAATACAGTGGTTGTACTTTTTTAAGAAAGTAAGGGATACATGTAGAAAGAACACATCTACTTGGTTACAATACTTTCTAGAAAAAAAATAGAGGAGCTGTTCCCTGTACTTCTCTTTGGCTACAAAAACTACACCATTCTGCAAGGAAGAATCAGGCAAGTTTAGTAGTACCCCCTTCCCTCCTTTCTCCCTGGTGCCCAGGACCTGCAAAAGAGCCTGCATGTTCTGAAGCTGAAAGCTGTGTCCGATGGGCTCCAACCTTGCCTTGGCACAGCAAAAAGATATAGAGAAGCACATTACAGCCTCACCTTGTCTGAATGTTTACCTTATGTCAGCCACCATTGCTTATAGCTTTGCATGTGTTTTTGAAGAAAGGTCCTAATACTGTGTCCAGTGTTTGCAAATAAGCCCACAAATTTTCCTGATTCATAGGAGAAAAATTGCTTTACTGCAGTGGATTAAACATTACACTTGCATTGCCATTTATACATTTTAAAATGATTTTTCTGCTTTAAAATTAACAAAGCTATTTGGGAATATTTACAGTTATGCATGTAAGGAGATTGTGGGTGAAAAACTAGTTTTTAATTGAGCCAGAGTATTACCATCCAAATAGGCTCTAAGACCATTCAATGAGAATATGTTACCGAAATTGTCACAAATGCTTTTTTATGAACACTGTACAGCAAATATTTGTTTAGTGTTTTATTTGTACAATTTCAAATCCTTCATTAGAATTGATTTTGAGTATTCCAATATAAGGTGAGATTTTTAAGAAATAGAATACAAGAAGATTATTCAACACCACACAGCTAGTAACTGGAGACATCAAAGAGTGGACACAAGTTATCGGACTGAAATTCGAACTGTTTGGAATACAGCAATCTCCTTTTCCACAGAGGATATGTTCTCCCAATGCCTGAAATTACAATAATGCTAAATCCTGTGGTGTTTTCCTATACATATACCTATGATATATATGTAGAGTAAAAAATTAATAATTATAAAATACAACAACTGCAGCAATATACTGTAATAAAAGTTATTTAAAACTTAGCGAGTGTTTATTTCTGGAATTCTCCATTTAATATTTTCAGACCTAAAAATGGTTGACTGAATAACTGAAACTGCAGAATGAGAAACTTTGGTTAAGAGTGGATTAAAATTATTTCAGGGTGGTCTATGATAGGAAACAGAGTTGAATTCTTGACCTCACTACATACATCAAGCATTTACAATTTCCTTGAAGTTAAACCCACAGTTTAACATGTCAGATAAAAATCTCAGATAAAAAGGATCAGTGTTGTTGGATCTCAATGAATTATTCCTATTTTTATATCTTCTGTTATTTCAGTTGAGGAAATTGAGGCTAAAATATATTTTCTAACTAAAGTACTCCTCATTTGTATCTTAAATGTAACCATATTTAAGAATGATATGGCAATTTAACTCACCGGTCATGCAGGTTCCTCTCCTTGGTTCAAATGAGATGTGAAATCATCTGCCCTGGGTAGTCACAAACTATCCTACAATGTTCAAGGTGGCTCTTTGCTCTTTCCAGAATTTCATCATTTCTGGGAAATTAAATGTGTGCCTTTTCACAAAGGCCATTTACAAAGTTTATCCTTACACCTTTGTATGTATCAAAGAAAAGTCCTTAATTTCAAATTGGACACTTAAAAATTATGAGGTTATCTGACAGTATTAGAACATTTGGGTAATAGGCTCCCATATTTTCCTTGAATTGGCAAACTACAGCTTTTAAAAATTTATCTCAAAAGTCAAGTCATGAGAGTTGATAGTGTAGAAAGAAACTTTCACTTCTGAGTTTCTTCTATTTGCTAGACATTTGAGATACAGACATGGATGTAAGTATAGATACAGATATACATGTTTTTGGTAGCATTTTGGGGTATTGAGGAGGCCTTAATTCCACTTTAAACTTGTTTGAGGTGCTCTGGCTGTGAGTAGGTAAGAGCTCAGAGCTGATATCTACTGTTTTCTTTTTCATTGCATCTTTCAAAGTGACATTCTTCTTACATTTTCATCTCAGTAGAACATTGAGTCACTGTCTTCAGATGCAGTCTAACAATGTTTTTAATGTGTTTCTTAGTCTATTAAGTCACAGAAGATGTCAATGTGTGGATTTGGTGATCAAATAAGTGGGAAACTGAGCAAAAAAAGTTAATCATATTCATTTACTGAAGATCTTCAATGTGTAAATGTACGTCATAATTTTCCAAAAGAATTGGTTGCAATATTTTCCAAACTTGACACCACAACTGTTTTCAGAGTTCATTATATGGTTCTTGTGGAAAAGACTTTCAGAAAATCTCATCTGTAGTATATGATTCCAGGTTCTTCACTTGGATTTTATTATGACTCAGAGAACTTATTTTGTAATACACTTGGGGACACAAAGTGCATGTGTCCATCCACAACTTAACTGCTATTTGCCACTAATGTAGAGACTCAAAATTTCCCAGACTTCTACCCCATTGTCCAGTCCAGCTTTTCACTCTAAGGGAGGCTTGAGCCTTATTGCTACATTGTAAGTATTCACTGTATGGTTTCTTGCTGTATCATTTATAAATACACTCAAAAACTTTCTTTTGATCAAATTTGATCATCAGAAAACACTTTGTAGATCAGCCATGTTATTTTAGCAGAGTTTTAGCATCTGCAGAGTTTCACTGAATTTTGTTTTGTTGTCTTATCTTAGTTTTCATGCAGGGTTAGTAGGAAAAACAGTCTGTGAGACACATGACTGTATTTACTATAAGGATCATATTTAAGTCCCTCAGAAGATATCCATATGCTTTCATTTTTATTGTGAGAACTAGGAAAATGCCATATTTTCTCATTAAACTGTAAATAACTATTTTTAATAACGAGAAGCTAGAAACCAAACCAGGGCACAATCATAGCAATGCTATATGCCCTAACAGCCTGTAAAATTGTGTTATATTTTCGCCTGTCAGTAGCTTATGTTAACCTCCTACCCTCTTTTCTCCGCTGTTGTTCATTTTTGTTTGTTTTAATATTTTATGTGTAGTTGTTCTAATCAAATTCAACTCTCCCCTCTCCTACCACCTATTTTTGAAATGATTTGGGAAAAAAGAACAAAACAAAGAATGTAATGAAGAAAAATCATTTTAGTCACAGCCCTGATTTCTAGAAGCTGTGACACCAGATGTAATTAAAGCTGGGAGATGGTTTAACATTCATACTTCAATTTGGAATTCATGTCAACAGTGTTCATAGTAGATGATTGTTGTGTTTATTTGTTTTTTCCTGGTTTTACAATGGTATGAGTATACTGCAATGGAGGATCCAAATCCTTCAATTCTCTTTATATGATTCAGTTACAAATCCATCAGTGTCTACAGGCTTAATTCAAACCATCAAGGTAGTTCTGAATGGCACACAGTTGACTTTATGTAGCAAGCGTAGAGTTTCCCCGCTACTCAAAAGGAGCTGCCTGACCACCATGGAGTGAAGCCATCTGCCAAGGCACGTGCTGGCCAGGCAGGAGACTGAATGTGCAGGGCTTGCAATGCCACCCAGATGTGTGCTAGATGAGGCAGAGCCCACCACATGAAGGACTGCGCCAGGTCTACAGGAGCCACCAGTCAGGGCGCTGCCTCCAGGACCACTGCACACCCACCAGAAAAGCAAGGCCAAACCCTCGGAGTTTTTGACCGACCGGGGAACAGGAGTAATACTGGGCTCTGCTGTCTGGGCTCA